TGAGGCGCCGGCCCGCTTCCTCCCTATAAATCTTTCGCTTCCTTTCCCTTCGCGCCCTCTCCCCACGCCGCTGCTGCTCGGGCTGTGCAGGTGGTTCTGTGAGGCAGAGCCCCGCCGTTGGCCGGTACTCGGCGTGGACCGGCCTCGCCTCCTGTGCGAGCCCAAGCTGAGGCGGCCCAGCGGCTGAAGCGAAGAAAAACGGGAGGCGAGGCGTGATGCGGAGAAAACTGCAAGAAATATTAATGTAATAAACCTCTAAATAAAGGCTGTTTTAGGTGGGGGAGACGGCCAGGGCAGATCGCTGTCGGTGAGGAGCCCTGCAGCTGAAATGATGGTGTGTCTGCAGCAGCAGAGCATCCTGTGCTTGTAGGGCCACAGAGGAACTTGCAGGGAATCAGGCATGCGGGCAGACAGACCTCTGCCTTCCTCTGGTCCTGCTTGCAGCCAGGAGGAAGAAATAATAAATACTGTTAAACTGACCTGTAAATGCACTTGAGATATTTGGGTGAAACACCCGGGACATCTCTTAGTTGCTCGATAGTTCTCTGGTTTGCTTTACCAATGTCTGTTGCTAGTAATAGTGTTTTCTTTAAACTTCAGAACAGTGGTAAAGCTAATAAAGTGCATTTGTAAATCCTGTTATTATATACATTTACATGGCAAAATACCCAGAATAAGGACGATTGTAATAAGTAAATGTATGATTTGCAAAGTTAAAAAGCATTCTTTTTCCTTGAGGACTTAAGAATACCCTGTAATTCTTGTCTAGTGAATTATAATTCTCATAACTAGTAAGTCTCAAAGTGGAAGAGTGTTTAAGGAACTGAGGATTTTTATTTTTTTCATTTTCAATTTTCTCAGTTTTTCTCAAGGCTGACAGAGAGGTTTGTCAATGGGGTGGATGTATTAATGGACACATTCTGGAGGATATGGACTGATTTGTTAGATGTTCTTGGAATTGATGGTAAGTGTGATGCCTCTTAACTCTCGAACTGTATCAGTCTGTACCAATGTTGACAAGCACAGGCCATGTGGGAAAATAATTACATTTTATCACGCTGGATTAAGCATCCATCAGTGGTATCTGTCTGCTTCACCTGGCTTTGATTTTGCTATTAGTACCTTCAAACAAGAGGACTAAAACCAGCCATTTGTTTTCTGTACCTGTCTATAAAGGGCATTACAAGTCATGGGTGGTTTCTTTGTATCATCGCTACATAGATGCATGCAGCCAGGAACAGTGCAGGGAAATAAAGGAGGACTAGAAGAAGGAAAGGTACACTTGAGAGCCTTAGAATATTACTTTCACAAAGAGGATCTTTAGCCTCAGTATGAGCTTTGACCATAGGCCCTGCAATAGTTTGTCTTTCAAGAACCTTTACTTTAAAGGAATTAATTCAATTGCAACATTGGAGCCGAGCCAGGGATTTGAAGAAGGTCCATCCAGAAAAGGATGAATTAGCTTTACCCCTTCCTTTAGAAAAGTCAGAGCTGTGACCCCACTGCATGACCCTTGGACGCTGTGTTGCATTTTTACCATTACCGTTTGGCATGTTCTCGTTAATGCTCTGTGACTTTTCCTTTGTTTTTCAGCCTCCAACCTGACTCATTATTTCAGCCCAGCAGCAATTGCCAACAGCCCAACCCGTGCTCTTCTACTAATTGGTGCCATTTTACTCGCCTATTGGTTTTTATCTCTCTTCCTTGGATTCTTCTTCTATCTCCTGCACATGCTGTTTGGTCGTTTCTTCTGGATTGCGAGGGTTGCCCTTTTCACTCTCTCGTGCGTGTACATCCTCCAGAAGTATGAAGGTGACCCGGAACACGCTGTCCTGCCTCTCTGCTTTGTTGTAGCAGTCTACTTCATGACGGGGCCAGTTGGATTTTACTGGAGAAGAAACAGCAACAGCAGCCTCGAGGAGAAGATGGACCACCTCGATAGTCAGATCAGACTTCTGAACATTCGTCTTTCTCGGCTGATTGAGAACCTGGACAGAGGCAGTAACCAATGAACCAGCCCCTATAGACCACTGTACACCAGCTCTAGAAAATTCCTAAGCACTGTCTCGTTTGAAGTTACAAAGCAACAAAACATCACATGGTAAAAAGTGTGCAAAAGTTATAACTTTTCATCATGTGTGAGACTAATTTATCTAGATTATACACTCAGCCATTATACTTGTAGGAAAAAACAAATGTTTAAGAACTTCAGCTGTATATTCAGAGAGTTTTATCCAGTACTCGAATTTTCTCAGTAGATAAACGCTTACTTTTACAAGCATTTAAAAACATCTTTTGTAAAGTTTTTATAAAAGCAAATTGAGTAGTCTTTCAAATCTTGAAATTGAGCTAAAACATATGCAAATTTGACACTTTAAAAGTTAAAAAGAACAAAAAAATAAGCTACCAAACACTTCCATTGAGAAGTAACTGCTGTGGGTCCACATTTCTTTTTCTTACGAAGTTGTGAACGTTTTTGTTTTATTGTTGGCTTATTTCATTGCCTTGAAGTTGCCTTTCATAGAGTATCAGATGAAGAATTTTCTGGTATCCAGGCCAAAAAATTCACACCGTGGCTTTTAATAGGAAGTGGGGAATAAGGGTGAAGGAAGATTTCATAGATTTGGAGCTCTTTAATGCCAGTCCCACAGGAGGAATTGAGAAGCGCACGTGTGGCATTATTTCATTGCATTTCATCTCGAGAACTTTAATTTGGTGTCTGGAAGGAAGGCTCTTGACACAAAGGGAAGAGATGTAGCGTGGCAAATTGTAATTCATACTTGATACTCACCGTGAAGCATTTTTCCAAGCATAGGGTAAACCATGATTTTTAGTCTCGGGACCCACGTACTTTCTCAAAAAAGGCAGCAGTTAAACCACTTGCAAATGTATTGTTGCTTAAAGCTTTCTCAGGACCAATAAGCGGCAATAAATTATCTTCAGGAAGATCTGGATTTTTTTTCTAAAATTGTAATAGTTTTATAGGAGCTTTTTGCTTGAAGTCTGTGTCCTCACTCTTCTGGGGAAAGTGAGTCACCTTATGAGAAGGGTGTATTAAACAGTTGTGTTGCAAAGGGGTGCAGGAGCTTTGAAGCAATTTTACTTTGAAGGATTCTATGTGTTTGTAACCTTAGAGTTAAGTGGCTTGGCAGACTGCTACTGCCTGCTTAAGGTTTGCTGAAATGCATTGAAACAAAGGTAACCTCAGGGAAGAGAGGCCGGAACGTGGTGTAACGCGTGTGGCATCTGAGGGTCTAGATGAGGGGAGGGAGGGATAGCAGCTAAACCATGGTGATGAGCACAGTATCAACATAATGGGGGTAAAACGGGCCACAGCTGAAGAACTATGTATTCCATAATGTCTAAAAAAACGCAACAAAAACTGGCCTGTGGTAGGGCCTGGCTGACAAGCAAGGGGAGCAAATACCAGGAGGTGCTGCTTCACCCGTGAGCGCCGGCTCCAGCTCGGCCCTTGGGCTTCAGCTTCTTGCTTCGCTGGGTAGAGCTTTTGTTGGATGTGACGCTTCACTGAATGTAGCTGTGGGGGGAGTTTATTTTTCTCTTTCTTCTGAAGCTTAATGCTGTTTAAATGTGTTACTCGCCTAATCTCACTTGGGCTGTGTGTGACATTTATGTGAGGGATTATTTTAAAATCCATGTTAATGGCCTTTACTCCAAACTGTGATCACTTCAGTTCAACACGGTTGAAGTTCATATGCAGTTGGCACTGTTGTAATCCATTTTAATTTTTTATTTCCTCTATAAATCCCCCCTGCGCCCCATTTTTTTCTAAGACATGCACATTGAGAGTTGCAAAGTGACTGCTTTTCATAATGTAAAACCTTTCTGTGAACAGATAAGTACTGCGGCCACAAACGGTCCGCTTGGCAAAGCTGAAAATGGCAATTACAGTATAATCCTTTTTATAGCTCATTTTCCATAGTATTGCAGAGTCTTCCCTTTAAGCTCGTTTTTCCCTGCTCTCTGCATGGAGGACTGGGCTGAAACACCAACCTGGAAGTTCGGAATCCACTGACAAAGCTTTGTCAGGTCTTCGGGTGTTTTGAGGCCTGAGGACCAAAGCTCATTCATGTGAGCGGCTCCACCGACTTCCTCAGGACTCTGAGCGTGAGTCAGTTTGGTGTAGATTGTATTTTACATAATCTATATTTAATGTTGAAGTTCCAAATACTGACTTGTTTCTATATTAAGAGTTGTCTATGATAAAGATTTCTTTTAGAATACTGTATAAAAGTTAATTTGGATTATAGTTTCTCCCTATCTCACTCTAATCACTTACCTTAGTTTTGTAAACCCAGCCCTCCTATATTAATACTCTTCATTTTGATCACCCTGCTGCTTGAATAAAAAGGTATTTTTATATTTACTTGCATCCCATGTATAGCAAAATGTTATGTGAAAAGCAGAATATATAAAATTGGGTGTTTTTAATCAGTATTTTTCCCAGCACTCAGTTTTCCTGTTAGTCAAATTGAGAAGTAATGGTTTTTTTGTTAAAGCACAATCTAATCTTCAATATATGTACTTTAAAAAAGCTCTGTATTTTTAAACATGCACTGTAGTGAAAGCGCTTTTGGGACATGAATGTGGCATTGTATTTAATCTCTTTCAACTTTTGTAAATACCTTTTACAAGTATTTTCCATCCCAAGCCATTGAGTTTATCCATTGAGGTTCTGCTCTGGTTTTTAGAGCTTGGCCTGGTGACAGCATGTTGCCAGCGACACAAGATGTGTCTGGTCACCCGTGGGTAAACAGAGATGCAGAATTGGACCAACCCACCAGAGCCAGTGGCAGAAATGGGGATAAACCCCCTGATTTTGCAACTCCTGGCCTTTGCCCTGGGCACTGGGCAGCAGAACCAGAGGTGGGCAGCACCATTGCTGTGCTCCCTGGGGAGGCTCAGGTGGCCGTGGAGCCAAAACGGTTCCCGTTTACTGACCTATTTGCAGTGTCTGCTTGAACGAACATCCCTGGTGTACCTGTTTGAGATGGGCTCCAGGCTGTCCGGTATCAGACATTCCGGTAGGGTCTTCCATGTGTTAAACAGTGTGGCTTTAAGACCTAATGTTTGAAACTGCTGTAATATTTTCAACACATTCATTTTCACCAAACTCAATGCCCCTTGCATTTTCTTTGGAAGTACGCACCTCGCCTCGCGATTGCTGATGTGCCGTGCGCGGAATGTAACGCTTCTCAAAGTGGTTTTGGGTGTCAGAGTGCAATGTGTAAACCTGGTGTAACTCAGTGCTGTACTTTAGTAGCGCGTCCTGCAAATTGTGATTTGCTTTTTAAGACTTGTTGCATCGTTAGTGTGGAAAATAGACCAGTATCAATCCTAGCTCTTTGATGGTGTAGAAGTTTCTTAAGTGTGATTTGCCTCACGTACTGATCTGTATTTGGCAGCTAATGATGTAAATGACCGTTAAGTTCTCTTTGTCTGGGTTGGAAAATAAAAGATTTTATTGTATCCGCATGTATTTTAAACTTTTGGATAACTCCATCGAACTGTGATGACAGCACATTTAAAAACTGATCTTTTCCTTTCCCTCACAAGTGGTATTTGCCGTGGTCGCACTCGTTACCTGCACTGCTGTTTGTGATTCCATGCCCTGTTTTGTACATGGGATTTCAAGATGATCATCTTTGAGTTTGTACGGTTGTGGTTATGTACAGATTAAGTTGGTCTGAAGAGATGGCGGATGTAGACTTTTGACATATGATCCATAGGGAAACACTGGCTTCCACTGATAATACTAAGTAGTTAGAAGTCCGCGGGACTGATTTTTTACGGAGCTATACCTGCCTTTATGGATGACTTCTCTGGGCGCCCAGTCCATGTGCTGTGTAGTTACCTATCTGTAGGCCGGTTCCACTGGCCGGCCGTGCTGTTGTGACAAAGCTTACAATAAACCTGTACCGGGACGTTGCACTGAGCACTGACTGCCATTCACAGCTTCGCTTGACCGGCTCTTGCGAGGGGGGCTCCGCAGCC